GGCACGGAGACCATGACACATGGCCTGACATGTAAGGAGTTCCAGTTTACATTCACCAGCCACTTTTGTGCAGCTTACTATTATGTGGTTGGACAAAAGTTTTTATTTATTCTAAATAAAGTTATTTGAATGTGTCACTGTTACAGGTAACAGGTACTAATACTTTATGACAGATATGTCAGATCATTACATGTTCTCCCATCCCATAGACAACTGCTATAATAATAAATCTACAATGTTCCAAAAGAGGGGTGTAATCAGCACTACCTTGACTTGTGACTAGTGATCGTATATCTTAAATGCCAAAATGAATGACACCCCTCCCCCAAAAAATAACAGCTTATTTTGTTTTTTAATTAATGACTGTGTGTTGCCATGAGACCAATTGAACAGACCTCTGATACAATGAATCATTTTCACTTTAAACTTCTGCATGACAGTCCACGCTTTAATGATTCCAATTATCTATAGGAAGCCTTCTTTAGTTTGATGAAGAATACTCAGCTTGTTGTTAGAATACGTTTGCTTTGTGCTCTGTGGTGAAATGTGTCACTTTGCACTGAGAGAAAATGGCAGCTTTGTGGTTGCTCACCTTCAGTTTTCACACAAACATCACGCAGATCGTTGTCATCTGTTAGCGTTTCTCTGCAGAGGTGTTAAGAAGTTGGAAAAAAACTGTGAAAAGCTTCTGATGTTTGTAAAGGTTGGGACTTATTTTCTTCATAAACAAGTATAAATAACATTTTGCTATAGCAACTATTTAATACTATTCCATTACTACTACTATTGTATCTGCAGCAACTAGGAAGGCGCCACTTATGGACAAACACACATCAGATCAAAGAGGCCCAGAAGTACGGCTGCTCTTTAACTTTGAACAGTGCTGAATGTTAGTTGGTAGCTAAGCCAGCCTGACTCAAGCTCAGGATATTAAACTTCTAATCTCAGAAAGAAACCTTCCCAACACTATCTTTATCTGCACACAGGTTCTTATCTATATAGCACCAAATCACAACAATAGTCGCCTCAAGGCGCTTTATATTGTAAGGTAGACCCTACAATTATACATACAGAGAAAAATAGAAAAGCAAGCAGTGGGAAGGAAAAACTCCCTTTTAACAGGAAGAAACCTCCGGCAGAACCAGGCTCAGGGAGGGGCGGGGCCATCTGCTGCGACCGTTGGGGTGAGAGAAGGAAGACAGGATAAAGACATGCTGTGGAAGAGAGACAGAGGTTAATAACAGATATGATTCAATGCAGAGAGGTCTATTAACACATAGTGAGTGAGAAAGGTGACTGGAAAGGAAAAACTCAATGCATCATGGGAATCCCCCAGCAGCCTACAGTCTATTGCAGCATAACTAAGGGAGGATTCAGGGTCACCTGGTCCAGCCCTAACTATATGCTTTAGCAAAAAGGAAAGTTTTAAGCCTAATCTTAAAAGTAGAGATAGTGTCTGTCTCCTGAATCCAAACTGGAAGCTGGTTCCACTGAAGAGGGGCCTGAAAACTGAAGGCTCTCCCTCCCATTCTACTTTTAAATACTCTAGGAACAACAAGTAGGCCTGCAGAGCGAGAGCAAAGTGCTCTAACTGGGTTATGTGGTACTATAAGGTCATTAAGATAAGACGGGACCAGATCATTCTAGACCTTGACTGTGAGGAGCAGGATTTTGAATTACATTTTGCATTTAACCTCAATGGATGTGCCTGTGAAGGGCCAAAAGGCTTTTTTCTTGGGGCCAGCACTGGCTTGCCTCCTCCTGTGAGAATGCCCACAATCCCTTTGGATGTCCCAACATATCCACCCTTTTACGAAGGTCTTGGCTGTCTTCACACTCACTGGCCAGTGGCAGTCTATCGACTCCACCTTTCTAACTAGAAGGCACAGTACGACCTGCTCCAGGATCCAACTGTAGCATGTCCGTTCCTTCCTCAGCCATTCCCGTTTGCAGCTCCCTGATTGCTACATTCTTCATCTTTTGTTTGTAGGAGAAGGGTCACTTCCCCACTTTCAGACAAGAGCTGCAAAGGTGGTGACAGTAGTTCTTGAGAATAGCCAAAGTGATCCAGCACAGCATTATGGACTTCCAAAAGATACTGACAGTAGGCTGAGCACTGGTATCTGGGCCTCCCGAGACAGCAGAGGAAGTAACCACACCGCCCATTGTGCTTCCAGACATTTACATGCCACTTGCATGGCCTCAAACAAGCCTAGAAATCACTGTAGGTAATCTGCAGGGATACAATGTGCTACTGCCTACTCTTGATGCTCTGCCGTGATTTCGGCCAGGGCTTGCACTGGCTGAACAACCTCAGTCCAACATAGTTCTGTGTGTTGGGTGAAGTTGGGCACCACTGTAGTACTATGTTGCTAGCGTGAATTCCAGACACAAAGTCAGAGTTCATGTGTTTTATTTTTATGTTGCCACAGTTTATAGCAATTGTCTTTTCAGACATTAAATTGATTAGTTCAGCAACATTTCAGCATACTCCAACACACACACACACACATTAAAAAAAACAGTTATTAGCAAACAATGAAGATATTTCATGCATCACAAGTAGCCGTACGTTTAAGTGTGAATGCACTTGTACACTCAAAACGGCAGGTGTAAGTGGAAATAAATAATTTGGGATTGGCATGGTCCTGATTTTGTAGCCATGGTTTTGAGTTGAACTTGTGAATTTTTGATAATTAATGAGTCAGTATTTGAATGTTTGTTTATGATTTACATTTATATCTTCATGCATTTCCTTAGTATTTTGAGTCTTTAGTCCTTAGTTTTAGTTATTGATCACATTAATTTATTATTTCTTTTTCTGTTGCTTTCCTTAGGCTCCCTGTTGTTTAAACTGTGTGTGTGTGTGTGTGTCTTTGTACTCAGACTTTAACCGAGAGCCCAACGTTGTCTACTCTTCAATGAAGTAGTCCACGGGTCCAACCGCTGGTGTCTAACTGGTCCCCCAGCACCACAGACACAGGATATGTACATGCTAAATAGATTTGTATGCAGATTTGTGTGTATTTTGCCTAATGTCTTATTTTTTATCTGCGTTTTTAAAGTGTATTTTGCTGCAAAATCAACAGTATGGTTACAAATGTTTTTAAGTCCTCAGTAAGATCACTGTTATTTATATTTTATTCATGTTTGTTACATCTTGATCTTGTTGCTGAAGTAGCAATTTAGTTCCTCTTCAAGATTAATAAATGTTTGTTCTCACTTGTTTACCATGTGTGTTTCTGTGGGTTTTGCCGAGGTATCAGATGGAAAATCTGACTTGAGTTTTCTTTGGCTAACTGACACACCTCTATTCAGTGCAGAAAAGTGTGAGACTAAAGACAGCAGAAGTGTCACTCGGTAGTTTCAAATGACACTGAAAAGCTTCAGTGTGTTTGAAACTGATATCTGACATTTTGCAGCTGTACTTTGAAAATATGTTGGTATAGATGTGACCCGTGGGAGGTACTATTTAATTAGTAAATGAGCCTCAGGAATATAGTCAGTTCACAAGCTTTTATGCTGATACAAAACTTTCTATACATGTAACAGTAGCACCAAACAAACAATTAAAAGATCTACTTTATCAACTACAAAATGAACAATTGTATGAGGAAGACCAGATAAGCGCTGTGGGGAATATATTAAAAACTATTGCCATGTGTCATCCTTTGAATGCCTTCGTTTTTCCAAGGGTCCCGTTCAGCCTTTCTCTGTCCTTGCTGGATCCATCCAGCCTGCAGCACTGTCCTGGGTCTGTGACCCAGTGTTTTCTGTTTCGTATTATTAGTTTTTGATTTCACAATGTATCTTTTTTTCATTTTTAGTTTGGTTTCTCTGTTCCCTCTGACATTAAAGTCTGTACAATGTCTCTGTGCATTTCCTGGTTTATTCTGAAGGTCCGTGTCTCATGTGAGTGTATTCTGTTTCGCTTCCTTGTCTCATCTTCCCCAATCAGTCCCAGCTGTGTTGCCACCTGTTCCTTGTTCTCTCTTGTGCCTGCCTGTGTATTTATAGTGTGTGTCAACTTGGGGTCGTCGCTGGTTCGTCTGCATCATTTCCTCGCATCCTCCTGTGTCTCTCTGTAAAGGTATCAGGTCTGTGGTTGTTAGCTTACCCAAGGTTGTCTTAGGTTCTGCACTTCCCATCACCTCTGCTGTTTGTATCTTCAGCTGCACAATAAAGCTCACTCATATCAGAAGCTGCCTGCATCCTGGGTCCTTATTAAATTGCACATGGCTTGCCCCACGAGCTGTGACAGTTCATTAAAATGCAAGTTGATATGACCATTGATCAATGGCCATGTGTACCATTTACAGAGAGTTAGGGAATGGCTGCAGTCACATCATTGCAAGATGGTGAAAGATGTAGTCTACTGGTAAGATAGTCAACAAACTGATGGTCCACTCCTGCTCCCTGCAGCTTCCCTCTTAGCACTGCGGGTTGGATTGTGTTGAAGGCACTGGAGAAATAAAAGAACATGACTCTCACAGTGCACCCGGTGCTCTCCAGATAAGAAAAGGCCCAATGCCGCAGGTAGATGACAGCATCATCTACCCCAATGTTTGGCTGGTAGACAAACTGCAGTGGGTTTTGGTGTATCACTCCTGATGAATGGCATGGGGGGAGGAGGCAGTAGAGTCGTTGAAAGAAAAGGAAAAAGAGGGCAGGTGAGTTGCATCTGGTATCCCCGGTGCTATGGGGGGTTGCAGAGAGGTGTGAAGAGCTCTGGTGGATGGGGAGGGAAGGGCTTTCCTGGTCAATACAGTGTTATCCACACAGAAGCTGATATAGTCTGTTATGCAGGTTGTTAGGCTGGCTGGATGGGGGAGTGGCGTGTGCCTGGCGGCACTCTCGATGGAGAACAATGAAGACAAGATACTTAAAACAGATCGTGAGAGCAGCTGAGAAGATCATTGGAGCTCCTCTTCCCTCCATCACGGATACTTATAGCACCTGTTCCATCGGCAAAGCCACCAGCATTGTGGAGGACCCCACACACAGTTTCTTCCCCCAAGCCGTCAGATTCCTGAACACTCAGTGACTGGAATGACACACACACTCGCACACCTCCATACTCATGACTACCAAGCACTTAACTGCAGTCTCTCACTCTCATACACACACACACAGGGAGAGAGAGAGACTAAGTTACTTTTGCACCATACTCAGCATTTTGCACATATCCATTGCATCTTGTGATTCTATCATCCTGTTCCATCTAGTGTTGCTGTGGACGGGCTGTGAGTACTCAGACTGCTACAGAACGCAACATGGAGGCCTGTTGACTTTTTCTTAAAAGTGGGTGAAATGACACTCTTCAGTTGACACAGGATACACACACACACACACACACACACACACACACACACACACACACACACACACACACACCCTCCTACCCCTCTCAAAACACCTCCATTGCACATCCTTTATGTTGTAAGGTGTGAAGATTCACGTGTTCTCTTTGCTGAGGTGTTTTGTTTTTCTCTGTTCTCAAGTGACAAATAAAGGCTTATTCATAAATTATTCATTAATTTATAATCACCCATAAAAGAAAATGAATGTTTTTGTCTGTTTTTGTAATCTTTAGATGAATTAACCTTTGGTTCAATCAAACTGAAGTCAACACTGTGTTGGAAAATTGATCAGCTCTTCCTTAGTTTATTAAAGTTATTACAACCTGATCTGGAAATCCAAAACAGTCAGAGCTCAGTCATACTCGACCAGCATACCGTGTCACTATCTGTAGTCTGGGGTTCAGGTCTGTTCATGTGTCTCTGCACAGCTGTAATTAAAATGTGTTCAGAGGGCCTCAGTGTCTGAATGGTTCCAGTTCAGCTCCATAACAGCAGCGTCCCTGGTTTGATTCCTGTGTTTCAGCTCATATCTGCCTCTCTCACTGAGGGGGACGTCCACTACATGGACATGGATTTGTTCATCAACCAAACTACAGATCACTGAGAGCAGAAAGGACTTCATTCTCTTTCCTTTTTGAAATTCTTCATTTTCATTTATGTGAAATAATGAATGATAGAGAGCATCACTGATATTAAATATAATCAGACTGTGTGAAAACATTTCTTATGTATATATGTTTTTCTTTATAGACAACAGTGGATTTTCTGTATACACTTATGTTTTCCTGGTCTTTGTTTGCATAGAAGCTTTAAGCCACTATCTTTTAATTTCAGGGTTTTTTACACAAAGGAAAATGTTTGTGTTCTGCTTCAGTGTTTGAACCAATAGAAAGCTGGTGCTCAGAGGAAGAGGGCGGGCTTTACTTGGTGTCAGTGACAGAAATGAAAAAAAGCTCAAATGAGTGAGAAGGACGATGAAGGAAACATCTGTGCTGTGTCTGCTCTGTAAGTAGAATCTCTGTGTTTGTTTGAATTCTTGTGCTTTGACTGTCTGCTCTCCTGATAACTGATGATGGAGGAGAAGACATGAAAAACAAATCAGGCTGAATTCAAGTTAAGGAAATAAGGATAAGCTGCATTTGTCGGTTGCAGCTGCCTGCAGCTGAGATGACAGACCTAGTCAACCATACATACAATATACAAACAGTGGGGAGACAGGCCTGGCTAAGTAGCAAAAAAGGATAGACAATGAAATATGTAACACATAGGGGCAATTCAGGAGAAAAAATAAGGATTTCTGCTCATAATGACTCCCCTGTTGGCAGAAAACAAAAAAAACCCACTCCATAGCACACAAAGAAGCACAGATATCATCACGCTATAACACCATGAAACACAGACAAGCAGCATCTGCCAATGAGCACAGTGGGTCATGGAAGCTGCTACCTCATCGCGCCTCCGGCTGAGCAGCTGTCCCTATCAGGTAGGAGGTAAGCGTGGAAGGAGGCATTGGATCCGTAGAAGGGAGGGCAATGGTGAGGGCGTATCAGTATTACTGTGCGTTTGTTTTTTGAGTTCAGCATGAGAAAGTGTCCTTTCGCCTATTACTCAAAGACCAAAAGTCCACGGCCTACGCAGGCGGCCTTGAGGAGTAGGGCAGAGAGTCAGTTCAGTCTCGTTATCCTATCTTTTGGAAGAATGTTGTTGTCAACCTTCAAGCAGCTGGTGCCGTCTGGGGTGGGGGTGTATCCGCATGAGAGATGTTGGTTATGTGAAATAGGGTGAACAAACTGCATTAATTCTTCAGTCGTTTTAATGTCAATCACTGGTCTTCAGGTGTATCTCTTTTTGGAGAGATGTACTGTATGAGAATTTCAGGAGCAGGACCACGCCTCCAAACACGCTCCTTCCTGGCTGTCATCTATATAGTCCCCCAGTTCTGCAAGCTGATCATTCTCGTTTACGTGCCCCACCCTCCCTCCCTTGTCTCCATTCTTAACTCTTCACTTCTATTTAGTATGGATCTGCCAGGCCCGGGAGCCTCGCCAGTCCCCTTTGAGGCCTTCCCCAAACCGCAGCTCAATTCATGTCAAAGCATCACTTTTACCTACTAAAACGCTGTCAAACCTTAAAATGAGGATGTGGGCCCAGCTAGTGAATTAAGAGCTGTGAGCTCTTCCAAGATATTTCCCATATTTTCGTTCAGTAAGAACAGTCTGAGTCTCACCACTCTTCCCACACTTTCGATAAGTTGCAAGCCAGGTGGGTTTTCAACAGTAGTTACAGCTTTCTTTGATTTCTTATAAGGCAGGGCCAAGCCAGCTCCAAACAGGAAGAACCCCGTTATCATGGTGCCGAATAGGTAGATGTCTTCAGTATCCTTGATAGACAGTCCCGCCAGGAACACAACGCGTCACTTCTGACACCCGTTCATCATGTATCCAGCAGGGAACATCCCTCCAGGATACTCAGGCGCTCCTGCACCTAGGCTTCTTGTCAATAATAGAGTGTCAATTGCATATTGACCAGTTGATCAAATCCATAGTTCTTTAGATTTTAGAGAACAATAGCGAGACTGAGAGCTCTATCAGTTGAAAACACCATGAAGACCAACTGCAGGTCTGAACTGACTCTTTATCTTTACTCAGGAGTCGAGGAAACACAGCAGGCAGTGAAAAGATCAAATCATTCACTCGATATATCAACACAGCTGTTTGTGTGTTTGTCAGCTGTTTGTGTGGAGTTGTTCTTTATGTTCACCTCAAATCAACCTGAGTGTCATTTCTCTTCAGTTCTGATCTCACTGCTGAGCTGCACAACAAACCAAGGTCAGTAACCTTCTTCTGTCACAGTTTAAACCTGAGAAATGCTCACTGATATGACCTGATTGGGTTCATGTTTCACAGTGTAGCGCACATATAAAGTGATGAAATGAGGATTCTGCAAAACATTGTTTACCATTTATCCATAACAAATTATAAGTTTTTCATTTTAACCCTCACAGCTCGTCTGACTGTGAGTCCCAGCAGCTCTCAGTTCTTTAAAAGAGACTTTGTGTCTCTGAGCTGTGAGGAGGACGACAGCTCTGCTGGATGGACTCTGAGGAGAAACACAAGCACAACAGAGGACTCAGTGTGGAGATGGGTGGGGAGAAGTAAATGGTTCTTCATGTAACATCGATGTTTTCCTACTGGACAGTGGAGTTTACTGGTGTGAGTCCAGAGAGGGTCCCATCAGTAACATGGTTAACCTGACAGTCACTGGTAAGCTGAGTGTGTGGAGTTAGTGTTGATGAAGCTGTGTGTAAATGGATGAAATGCTGTAGTTTGTCTCTGTGTTGAGGTGGATCAGTGATCCTGCAGAGTCCTGTCCTCCCTGTGATGGAGGGAGATGACGTCACTCTGCTCTGTAAAACAAAGACCACTCCCTCCAACCTCCCAGCTGCTTTCTATAAAGATGGCTCCCTCATCAGGAAGCAGCCTACAGGTCACATGACCATCCAGCATGTTTCCAGGTCTGATGAAGGCCTCTACAAGTGTGACATCAGCGGTCATGGAGAGTCTCCATCCAGCTGGATCACTGTCACAGGTGACACACTCACCTGTCTGTGTTTCTGCAGCTTTCAACATTCACAATGTGACGACAACTTAATGACTGTGTTTGCTTTATTTTAGGGGAACACACCACCACACCTCCACCTACATCCACACCTCCACCTACATCCACCTCTCCTCCTGCTTTAACCTCTCTCTCTGTGTTGTCATGTGTTGGATCACCTGTGTGTGGTTCTACTGGTGTTACTGGTTCTGCTGGTGAAACGATGTGTTCACAGAAAACCTGAAGGTGAGAATCAAACTTCCTGCACTTTTATGTGTGCGGTTGTTACTTGATGCATGCTTGCATGTTACTTGACTCATTTTTAGAAATAAGCCCAATCTAGTCTTTCCAAACACGGTAGTGTTGCCAATCCCATTGGGGTCATACAAAGAGATAAAAAGCATCAGAGGATGTCTCTGTGTCGGTCATACAGAGATAACTCAGGAAAAGCAGAGTTAAGGAATGTATAAATGTCCTCTTACTTATGAGCAAACACGTGTATCCACTACAAAGGGGTTACCACCACCTAAACAGTGGATATAGGGTATGTGAGCAATATGTCTCTGCACTGTGCTGCATGGAGCTCAGTTTATCGATTACTTACCTCTCTGAAAATGTGACATTGCAGCCATGGAGTTTTCAGTTTGTGCAGTAACAAATTTCTTAAATGTAATCTCTGTTTAGATATTTAATTGAACAATTTTTTTTATGTTGGATCATTTCAGCAGATCAAGAAGAAACCGAAGATGACATCATCACTCATGTCAAGTACAACATCAAAACATCCAGTCATCAACAACAACCAATCAGACGAAAGCCAGCGACCGCATTAGGATGAAGGATATACATGTATACCATCAACTGTTCCCATAGACAGAGGTATGTTGTTCTTCATGGTGAGGTTCAGACAGTTTTAGCTCCTTGTTATCGTAGTAAAGATGGGGGTCATTTTACTTGTTGTTTTGTTGGATTACTGCGTTGGACAATATGGTTGTCTGTGGTGACTGATTCACCTTTGGAGCCTCATGTGGACATTAGAGTAATTGCATTTCTTGTCAGTTTTTTTCATGTCTGGAAGTTTGTTTGGTTTGTTTGATAGTTTGATTAAACTTTATAGCACCGAACCTCACCCATATGTGGACAAGTTTTACCAGTTTGGCTGCTAAATGGTTAAATTTGCTTCTAAGGACTTTGGTGTCGACTGAAGCAGTCGACAAACACACGGAGCAGCAACAGCGGCCAAGCCGAACACAGGCGCCATGTTGCGTGTCAACCTCCGTGACATCTCAATGATTCTGAATAAAGAGGCAGACTGAACAGAGAACCTCCAAATGCCAAGAAATGTTGCACAGAGAGAAAAAAAGCTGCAGAGAATCAGCGGAAAGCAGTTTTGCCCAGACGTCTTGCTTATTAGCATGTTCAGAGGTACCGAATCCCTCTGTGTGTGGGTCATACAGAGAGAGGCAGAACGCAGGCAAAACAGCACTAAGACATGTAGAAATTACCTCTTCTCAATGTCCAAACACAGGTCTCCACTACAAAGGGGTTACAATCTTACAACCAAACATGTACAGTGCATGCTGGCTAAGTCTGAGCACCATGCTCGATGAAAATCTCCATTTACCAAGTAACTCTGTGATGTCCAAATTGTGGGGATGGAGCACAGTGTCTGTGCTTTCTTAAATGTAATCTCTGTTTAGATATTAATTGAACAGTTTTTTTTTAATGTTGGATCATTTCAGCAGATCAAGAAGAAACGAGAAGATGACATCCTGACTCATGTCAAGTACAACATCAAAGCATCCAGTCATCAAAAACAACCAGACAGACGAAGCACAGGTAATGTTGCGTTTTCTTCATGGGGGTGGGGAGGTCAAAGATGAGGGTCAGACAGTTTCAGCTCATTGTTATCATAGTAAAGATGATGGTCCGTGTACTTGTTGTTTTACTGCACTGGACAACGTGGTTGTCTGTGGGAACCAATTCGCTTTTGGAGCCTCAAGTGGACATTAGAGTAATTGCACTTTTTTTCAGTTCATTTTTTGGCTCTGGCAGTGTCACGGTTCTGGGTCAAATTGACCCAACATTTCGAGTTCTCATGTTTTGGTTTGATTTTGTATTTTTAGTTATTTTCTTGATCTATTGTCAGGAGATGATGATGATGATGATGATGGTGATGATTAGTATTATTTAGTATGTTCCAGCTTATTCTGGTTTAGGTTTAGTTCTGCCCGTTTAAAGTCTGTGTTTCTTAGTCTCCGTCTTTGTGTATTGTTTCCTGTTTTATTTTGCCTTTGCTCAGTGTCGCATCGTACGCTCACGTTAACTGTGTTCTGTCTGCCTGCTTAGTTCGGTTTTGGATTCTCAGTTTAGTGAAGTTCCTGTTCTGTTGCTATCAGCAATAAAGTCTTGTTGAGTTTACGTTTGCCTCCGAGTCCTGGATTTTGGGTCCTTTCTCCCTGCCTGCCTGCACACAGCCAATTTCTGTTTGGTTTGTTTGATATTTTGATTAAGCTTAAAGCACAGAGCTTAGCCCATATTTAAGACAGGTATTACCAGTTTGGCTGCTGAGTGGTTAAATTTGCTTCTGTGGACTTTGGTGAAGGTTTACAGTGGGAACATTTATGCAACATGGTGGTGGTATTTAAAAAACATAACATCGAGATCAGGTGCTCATGGTGGTGTGGCCACAAGTATATGTGACCAAGTGGTCAACAAGGGTTATATCAAAATAATACAATGACAATGCCACCAAGGGGTACTTCACCCCCAGTTAATATAAAATCTTCTTAAAAACTAGAAAAGATACAGGTTTAAGGACTCAACACCGAGGCAGATTGGCTCCAATATCAATATGTCATTTATTTGTATTAATTATATATATTTGTATAAAAGATGAAATCTGACTGTGGCACAGCCTATTCTTAACAGTGTCCTGGATTACATAAAACTATACATTAACTGGACTTACCGAGCTAAGGCATTGAAAACCATACAAAAATCAAGTCTATACACCCAGGTCTGTACAAGCAAAGGAAGTGTGGAAAAGAGCCATCACTCAAAGGTCCCACGGCTACTGGTGTCCTCAGTGCACTTTAATAAAAAAACACAGAACACATCATACAAGTTAAAAGTCAAAGAAAAACTCTAAAAGGAACCAAGCTTGTTGCGCACAGTCAGGAGACAGTGTACATTTGAATATTTAACCTGTCCACACTACACCGGTAGCACAGTGCTTGTTGCAGGCCTGATTCGAAGTTCGGGTGCGGTGAGGCTTAAAACTGATGGCTCGCTTCACTCAAGCTGAGCAATAAACAAAATACGTGCACTTTAGTTCCAGTTAGTACCAGTCCAATGAGTTTGTTAGTGGGGCAATCAGAAACGGGCAGTTAGCAGTTAGTTCACCAGTAGTGAAGACAGTTCAGGGGAAGAAAACAGCAGGGTCCATCCGGGCAGAAACCTCTCTCTCCCTCTCCTTTGTCCGCTCTCTGGTATGTTGTATGCTCTGTCTATTGAACCGATGTTACATAATGTTAGGTGTTCTATGGCTGGTATGAGTTTAGCAGGTTTTAACATGCTTTTTAACCTATCTGCATATGCTGATGATGTTATTGTTTTTGTTAGAGCGAAGCTCTTGCAATAGGGGGTTGGCGCACTGGACTCCCGCAACTTCCAGGTGGTTTGAAGTGGAAAAGGGGTGGTTCTAAAGTATTTGGGTGTGTACTTGGGGGATGAGGATATGGTAAACAAGAACTGGGAAGGGGTGTTGGGGACAGTTGAGGGGAAATTAGGGAAGTGGAGATGGTTATTACCCCAGATGTCATATAGAGGGAGGGTTTAGATTATAAACTACCATGGCTGGGGCGACCATGGCTCAGGGGGTTGGGAAGCGTATCTGTAACCGGAACGTTGCCGGTTCGATCCCCAGGTTCTCTGTCCTGGTTGTTGTGTCCTTGGACAAGGCACTTTACCCTACTGCCTACTGGTGTTGGCCAGATGGGCCGATGGCGCGATATGGCAGCCTCGCTTCTATTAGTCTGCCCCAGGGCAGCTGTGGCTACAATTGTAGCTTTCCTTCACCAGTGTGAGAGTGAATGAGTAGTGGCATTGTAAAGCGCTTTGGGTGCCTTGAAAAGTGCTATATAAATCCAATCCGTTATTATTAAACAACTTAGTTGCTTCTGTATTGTGGCATTGATTAGCTTGTCTGGAGCCACAATAAGCCCTGGCTTATTGTTAAACTTCAATCTTTGTTGACCAAATTTTTGAGGGGGATAACCGACACTGGATACCCCAGGCTGTGCTTTTTTTTGCCCAAAGAGGAAGGTGGACAAGGGCTGGTTCACCTGGAGAGCAGAACTGCTGCTTTCAGATTGCAGTTTATTCAGAAGTACTTGATGGGAAGGGAAGAAGATGTTTTCTGGAAACCAGTAACTAGTGTTATTTTAAGATGAATAGGAGAGTTGGGCTTGGATGTCTCAATGTTTTTATTAAACTGTAATTTGATATGTTCTTATGACATGGCACTGTTTTATAAAGGACTTTTCAAAGCTTGGACCATTTTCACATGGAAAAGACTGGAACCTACTGTCTTCATTGTTTTGGCTTCTAGAGAACCTGTTGTTGGAGCCCGGCTGGATGCACATGATGGAACAGGACTTGCTTTTGCAAAAGACTGCTTGAGTCAAAGGTTGTCAAACTAAGACAAATTGTGGAGGGTACCAGACCTTCAGAACACAGAAGCAGCAGCGTCTTTGGTTGGTGTGACATCTAATCGGATTATAGGTGTATTCTGGACTCGTGGCTTAGACGGTTACTGCATTTGAAAAGGAAATGCTGTTGGACTATTCCAGTGGATTGGAGATTCCTGATGAAAGGGATCCTTTTCCAGGATTGGGATAGAATATTGATTTTACAGGCATGGCAGGACCAATGCTTGTGAACCAAAAAGACTCAGATTTTCACATGTTGAGTGGAAAACTGTTATATAAATTGTCTGTTCAAGGTTAAATAA